TTCCTAGAGTGATCAGCTTCTGGTAAGGGCAAAAGCCACTTAAGCAGCTTATGAAGTAGTTTATTGCCTTTCTTCTGTCCCAAAGTCCACATGATTATTGAGGGGGGAAAATGGTAAATATGCAATCAAGTGCTAAATGTGTCATAATAGTGGCTTGGTGGCTTTAAGTGCACTTGCAGGATCACAAGACATACATATATTTTGTAAGATTAGATGTCTGTTGACATAATTTGTGGAGCTACTTCATTTACACAAAGTAGGAAACTGAAATAAAGCCATAACTTAAAGCTACTAATGATAGGTGTCATCTTCATTGGAGAAAATATGTCAAGGTTAAAAGCCACCAAAAGTCAGTTTGTTCTTGTGAGTCTTTTTTTTTTTTTTTTTTTGGGTGGAAACTGTGCACACATGCAATCTCAGCTCTTTGGCAAATGCTCATAATGAGGATATAGATCGCTGAAGCTGTCTGTAGCAAAGTCCATGCTTTTCAATTTTTGACCTCTTTTTTATTTTTATTTTTTACTTTTTTGGATGAGGAAGGAAGATGAAGGCACAGAATGTGGCCAGCTTATGCTTACAAGATAACAGGAATTGCTTCAGCAGCTCTATTGCCTTAGYCCTTTTCTAATATGCAGTGCTTGCATATTAGAAAGTTGGTCAATTTGTCTGTTTAATAAGGTGAACTTTGCTGGGTCATTTCTGTAATTAACGCTCGGACTCACTGCTACATAGCATTGTCTGCAGGCTSTTCAAAATCTGCTTTTCATTGGCTGAAGAAATTAATCTCCCAGCATAGAATACTGTCTCCTTGCTTTGAAAGACAATATAGCCAAAACGTTAGAATTTGTAAGCTGCAGACTTCATCACAAAGAAGCTAAGCAAGAGATTTATTTTTTTAATTTCTAAAAACATGTATAACCAATTCTCTTATCTTGCAGACACTCTCAGTATGGAAGGACCTGTTAAGAGACTGAGCAAAACCATTGCTACAGAATGCAAACAACTGCATCTTCTCCCTGATGGCATTACTGGGAAAATGCAAAAGAGAAACACCAAAATCTAGGATTTACTGCAGTTACACCAGGAACAAGGTGTAAGAACAACCTAGTCACATAAGGCAAAATTAGGAAACTAGGACCTTGTTTAAAGACTAGTGTTTTTGTTATAGTACAGTTAAAGACTAGTGCTGGAATAGTTTCCAGCATCAACAATTCTTATGCAGGTGCAGATTGTGTAAAGAGTAATGAAGCAGTCCCTGAGTAGCAACCTGTGTAGTATAGCACTGAACACATGAAATGGTAAATAAAAGGACGCAGCAGACAGGATAACAGTGCATGCAATTTTATAGACTGTTTTCACAGACTTCACTTTAGCTTTAGTTAGCACTTGCTGTGCCATGCTGCACTAGGTACCAGGAACTTTTTTTTTCCCTAGTTGACAGAAGGTTGRATAGTACTGTTCTTAAACATTTCCTTATATATGTTTCCAAAGTTAATTAAGTTCTTTGTTTCTTTAGGTACTGATTGTCCACTTAGTCAAAAGGGAAYGAGAACTGGCAGTGTTGCCAGGAAGTTTTTGTGAAGAATAAAGCAAGCAATTCACTGGATCAAATACAATGCTCACAAACAAGCACATACTGTGATTAATATACAGTTAATACAGTTAATCCAGCACTATGTAGCAAAYAGAAATTTATAGACACCTAACTCTAGATGTTTAACAGGCTTCTATATATAAAACCTGCATGACATGTTCAGGAGCATTTTTGTAATCAAAAAACATCCTATATATTAGTAGCAGATTTCTTCTTACAATGGCATCATCTGAATGCATCTGAATAAATACAGTTTTCCTAATGTTAGTCTTTCTGATATCTTATGACGTGACATACCAAGGTGTGGGTGCTTACCAGTTATGTTGTTCAGCTAAAGCCAACTGGCAACCAAAGTTTACAGAATCCAAATTCCAACAGTCTTTCTTCTTAGGTAATGTCAGGAGAAGATATATGAGGATTTCCACAGTYGGTTAGCAACTTGTAACGCTTTATAAGCAATGTCACTGGTTCTGAATATGGTTCCAGTGTGTCAGATGCCTTATCATCATCTGCTATGGTTCAACAGTATTTTTAACATAGTTACAATCAACTTAAGTCATTCAGAATCAGAGAGTTATACATTTCTTGCGGTTAATGCAGCCAGCCAGGCTTCTGGGTGGGTAAATTATGGGCATATGGCCACCAGCACAATCTGGAAACATCTCTAAACGCCAATTTTCMTTTCAGGAATATTCCTTATCTTAGATTATAAAGACAAACCATATATGGGGAGAGACAGTTGTCGTGTCCTTTTGGAAGGATCATGCCCTCCTGTGGCAYGAAAGGTATGCATTTATTTTGTATATAATAAATACATTAAAGTATTTAATGATTTAAAGGACAAGTGGGGAAAAAAAGGAATGTAAGTGTTTTGTTGTTCTGTTTCTTTGACCTTATGTATTAGTCTGATAGTTGAGGCTAAATCCATAGTTTCTACTTCGTGTATAAAAAGCAGCTATAAAGTTGGTAGAGGCAGATATAATTGTCACTGAAAGGCACTAGAACATGTAAGCCTCTGCCCTGATATTTTACAGGAAACAGTTTCAGAGGGGATAATATCAACCAGTTCTYTAATTCCAATTCATTTTTTCAGTTTATATATGAGGACATTAAGCTTTATATGGTCATAAAAGAGTAAACAAAACAAAATAAAATGCTATTTAAACAAAATGCTCCATTGCATGTGGTCTCTTGGATGKCAATGCTGCTCAGTGTATATCACATGGGCAGGATTGTGTTTGCCAGGTCAGGATGAGCCACCAAAGGCAGGGAGGAAGAGTGGGAAGGGACGAAAGTCCTTTAAAGCTCACCTTCCTTTAAATTTTACTTGGTGTGACACATTTTTGGAAAAAAATTGTATGTTAATAGTAGTAAATGAGTTAGACTGGAATACCTTGCAATTCTTTCATTATTAAGACCTGTTGAAAGTGAGTGTATGATACAAATCAGAATAGCAGCCTTTGACCTGTGTTTTCCACTCACCGAGCAAAGGTGTTTATGACTAAATAAAGCACAAGACACTGGAAAGTCAGGCTCAGTGTGTTTGCATTTGTTTTCTATCTCTTTTCATCCCAAACTCTTTCCATTTCTATTTGACTAATGACTAGAGCAAGGCTGAAACTAAATGGGAAATCCATCTTCCAAGGAAGCAATTCAGTATATTATTAAAATCAGCTTATTAGAATTGAAAGCTGAGGGTCATTAAACAGAAGCATCTCATAAAGAGGCAGAATGAGAAAGCTTGTCTGTAACACAAGTAGGAATTTGGAGACTTTCCTGTTATTGCCTGTCTTCAATGCACTTTTGGCAGCAGTACTCTCCAGAGATTTTTTTTTTTTTTTCCTTCAATGGTAACAACAGCCATACATGTAATTATAGTAAGAATTTGGGCTGAATCCCTGGCTATGCAGACAGTGGAAAATGTGTATGCAAATTCAGACATAAAGCTGGTGCTGTTGAAAATTAGACTAACCTGTTTTTCTCTGTTCCAGTGCTTCTATGGCTGCAGAGAGGTGAAATACAATACAAACGTTTCTGCTGTGCCCATGAGATCCTGCTGCCTGGAGATCATGTCGGGCCCAGTTTGGAGGACTATTGCACTATGGTAGGCTCGCTTGACACAACTGTTTGGCAGGGAGATTTCAAACACCCCTGTGCTCTTTGCTCATGCACATTATAAAGTAAATAAAACATCAGTTAATATCCAGGAAAAAAATAGAGCAATATAGGCTGCAATCTACATTCAATAACATCAAATCTGTGCTCTGCTGGATTTCCTAGCAGTAAAAGTTTGATGTGTACTGGCGTGAGCACAAGACTGCATTTTTATCAAATTAGCCAGAGCATATGTTAGTGTTTATTCAGACTTCATGCCAGCTTTCTGTCAGTTGCAGGAGGATAAATCCTACCTGATCCAGCATAAAGTTAGAGTGATACAAACAAAAAATATCTCATCTGATAGGAACTCTCCTGGTACAAAATTATTTCTTGAAGGTATTTCCTATCTCACAGAATGATAGTGGCCACCTTAATATGCTGTAAACCCTACACAGTCCTCAGACAAATCTTTTTCAAGTTGGTGCATGTCTGTATCTGATTAGCTGTAAACAGGCTGACAGTTTTTCCTCAGAGGGCAAGAAGGGGAGAGTCACAAATTCAAATTTCATTTTACACCTTAGGCAAATACAGAAGTTCTTCAGAATATAGTTTGTATAGAAATCCCAAGTGTGCTCTTGTATAATTGTAAATAATGAGATGGGGAAAAACAAGCTGCAATACTAATTAGGAAGATAATTCTTGAAATTATGGGATTAGGTTCAAGCTTGTGTTATGAAAGAGGCAGGATCTGGTTTTGTGCTTCCTCCCATTTGCCTTCTTTTAACTATGTGTGTCCTGTGCTATTTTATGGGATCTTTCATTCTGAAGATGAATTGTCATGCCACTAGTTAGTAGAGGTGAGAACAGTAAACAATATTACAATGTGAACCAGGTACTTTTTTGAAATTCCCTCTCAAGTCAAAGGGCCAAACAYATTAGTAGGTGAGTAGAGGTGCTGCTGGCTTTGATATAAGATTGGCTTAAATGGGAGCAAGGTGGACCAGCCAGTGGAACTATTGTAAATGAAAAAAAAAAAAGGACTAAAAACAATTTCATAGGTAAAAGAATCCAGAAAGTRGAACCATCGATGAATATCATGTACACATTGTATTTTCAGTACAGATTTCTGTGGAGGAATACCCTAGACTTTTGGCAGTGCACCACTATTCAATCCATACAAAGCACTCACGTCATGTAGACACGTCTAGACACAGGCTAGAGCTCATGACCATTCATATATAATCTGTGCTAGCAGTGCTATTTTAACTGCAATCCTATTGTCCTGTATGCAAGTACTGTCTGTACAGAAGAAGATAACTTACAACCTGCTTTTGGATTGAATATGGTGAAAAGTTATGCTTTGGAGAAGTYCAACAATAGAAAATATATAGAACAGAAATATGATAAATTACACTGCTAAGCTGTAATGTTTGTTTAGTTGTTTGATGTGTATGCAGATATTCATTCCAAAATGTGGTTTGTGTATATGACTTCAACCAGCACGAGGAGCAGCAGTCATCCACTAAGTGAGTAAAGTCTGCTTGGGTCAGAACGGGTCCAACTTCCCAGCAGGAGACAGGGTAGAATCCTTCTCCTAGACAGGCTCTTTTGGATGCTCAAAGGCTCAAGAGACTCGGGCAGTTTCACGGATCCTAAAACAAAGAGACTACTGAAAACTGTTGAGTATGTTTGGGTAAAATGCTTACAGGAAGGTCTGATCTCCTTGAATGCTTGCCTCTGCCAGCTGGTTTTGTTTGCTGCCCTGACATTGCAGTGATTGGATTAAATGTTAAAGTGCTAGTTGGCAGTGAGATTTGCTAGTGTTGTGTATGTGCATTTTAGGACTTGACATTTTTGCTCTTCTTTGTGATTTATGCAGCTGTGTGTTGAAGTTCTAAGTTTTTCTCCTCTATAGAAGAAGCAAAAAATCAGGAAAGCCCAAAACTCAAACACTGAAACAATTCGAGAGAATTAGTGAGTTGATAACTTTGCATTCGGCTCACAAGCAGGCCATCCTRTGGGATCATGTTAAAGCAAAAGGCATGAGTACACCCAAAAGGATGAGAACCGACAAGTGCTGATTTTCCAGCAGGGCTGAAACCAAGCAGGACATTCGGAAAAGACAGTGTCAACTTGCCATCCGTTTTGGCCAGGGGCAATAGGAAGATGCTAAGCRTGGTGGGAATGTCTGTCTAAACCAYGTCACAGGAGCTCTTCCGTACACACAAACTCGTGTCTCCGAGGTGGCGTAGCCTGGCATCCCGCCTCGTCCCTTTTTCCCTCCTCCTGCAGTAKTCTCATTGCTCCTCTGCCCATGAAATACTGTGGTTGTAAACTGCGCTGTAAAAGAATCTGTTCAGAACCACTGCACTCAACCAGATTATAAATTATTGGTGTAACTTGATGTTTTGTACACATAGTATTATTTTTACTCCTGGAAYTGGCACTGTTGACTTGAGATGGGAGATAGTTTGTGTGAATGCTGCTTCTCTATTCAAGTTACTGTCATGCTTACGTGTTCCACTGTTCTGTATCCTCCGGTGCCAATCATATCAGCCTCCAGAGAACATGCCCTGTCATCCAAATATGTAAGTAAAAGCATTGTGAGCACACAGGAAATAATTCATTATTACCAAGTAATACTTATAAAACCTTATCAATGCCTTTTTTTACCAGTAAAAACCTTACTAAACACTTTTTAGATCACAGAATCACAGAATATTYAAGGTTGGAAGGGACCTCTASAGATCATCTAGTCCAACCTTCCTGCTCAAGCAGGCACACCTAGAGCATGTGGCACAGGGYGGCATCCAGGCGGGTTTKGAAGACCTCCAGAGTAGGAGACTCCACAACCTCCCTGGGCAGCCTGTTCCACTGATCTGTCACCCTCACAGTAAAGAAGTTCCTCCTCACCTGGAGACAGCTTGTGGCCATTTCCCCTCGTCTTATTGCTGGCCACCAGTGAAAACAGCTTGTCCCCTTCCTCCCTGCATTCTCCCTTCCTGAACACATTAATCATATCCCCTCTGAGCCTTCTCTTCTCCAGAGAAAACAGGCCCAGCTCACTCAGYCTCTCYTYRTACGAGAGATGTTCCATTCCCTTAATCATCCTAGGTGCTSTTCTCTGGACCCTCTCGAGAAGCTCCACRTCCCTCTTATACTGGGGAGCCCAGAACTGCACACAGTRCTCCAGGTGTGGCCTCACCAGGGCTGAGTAGAGGGGCAGAATCACCTCCCTTTTATTTATATCACAAGATATAAATTTTGTTTAAAAAACCTTGCATTGCACCAGTAAGACAAAATGAAGAAGCACRTTTCACACAGCATCATTTATAATTATGTATAATTGTTAAGATTCCTATACTGTTAACTCACGGTGAAGCTAAATCTCATTACACAGCAATGATAATGGCACATCTAATTTAGGATTTACTCACAGATGATAGAAACTTCAAAACTAAGAAGGCTTTACAAAGGYTGTAATATTGCAAGGCAGAACCCTCTTCTGAATTCTTGAATGGCTCCTTGCAGCCTTCCATCCTTTCACAACACAAATATAATAGTTTTCTTGAAAATAAGAATATTTTCCTTTTTGCTTGTTTTTGGCAACAGAAATTCAGGCATTTGCCTTAAATAATTCCTGAATTGCTGTTAGTAAAGATATTGATTTCTTTATCTCAGGCTTTGTGTTGGCTCTTGATCTRTATGAGCGGTATTTTAAACAAGTTGAGAACAGGCTCTGTTCTCAAATCTCAAAGCATATGAGAGGAGAGGAGGGAAAAGACATGCAATCTCTATGGTCAGAAAGAGCCCAAAAAATCAAAATCAAGAAAATCGTTTGTTGTAAATAGGTCAAGGTTTGCATGCACCTCAGAGGAACACAAATTTGATGTTTTATTTTCTTGTAGACTGCAGTGAGACTCCCARTACCTCATTCAGGTGTTAAAAACACTGTTTTTTCTGCAGTCCCAAGAGAAGGGCAAGCAAGTTCCTTTGCAGACACTAGGCAAGAATTACTGGTGCCTCAAATAAGTGCAGTATATAAAATTATGAACCCTGTGCTTGGAGCTAGCCAGCATGCAGGATGTGTGTGATACAGTGCCAGGATGGATGCAGGGAAGGTTTTGTTCCATGCTTTTCTCAGCAGCAGCCTGCTTTAAAGCCTTCCTAGGAGGCAGCCCTACTGCCAGCTGCTCGGTCAGGAGATCCTTATGACTGTGCCAGGACAGCTGTTYGAGTGTTTGGGAGCTGAATCAGGCAACAAATTCAGGTTAAACTGCCCAACAGCAATTTTTGTTGTTGGTTTTTGTTTGTTTGTTTTGTTTTTCCCCAGAATTTTTCTTGAGTGCCTGTGTAGTTCCCTGAGCCTGGTTCCCAGAGCAGCCTTCCAAGCAGTTGCGTTGGTGGACGTCATAGGAGTGCCAAGGGAGCAGGTCAGGCAGGAAGGGGGAGATGGACAGGAGTGAGGTGCCTTAAGGCAGTATCACTGCCCGGGCTTAGGCCTTGSTGCTGCTGCTGCTGACAGCCACGTGAAGCACTAGTAGTTGCTCAGAGCCCGGTGTCTGTCGTATATTCAACCTCTGCAATGCTGACGTATCCATAGATACATCCATATCAGTTTGCTCATCAGCAGGGGTAAGCTAAAGGTTAAATTAAAAGAATTTGGTTGTCAGCTCTGCACTGTGCATACCTGCTAACTTGCAGCATTTTCTCTCAGTCCTGGAGATCTCACAGTTCGGTGGAAAAGAGTGTCCAGAGTGGCTTTGTGGGTGACGTTTCATGGTACACCTAGTCCAGAATAAYCATATGCAGCCAGTGAGAAGATCCAATTCTGCTCTGTCCCAAGTAATACCTAATYACTGGCACCACTCTCTTATATCAGACCAATGGTCATTCAGTGTAAGGAGAATCAATTCTGTCTGAGAATCTTGAAGAATCTGATGAAAGTCTAATACTGGGAGGAGGGGAAGGATTGGAGAGAAGATCAC